TCTTTGTCTTTGTCTTTGTCTTTGTCTTTGTCTTTGTCTTTGTCTTTGTCTTTGTCTTTGTCTTTGTCTTTGTCTTTGTCTTTGTCTTTGTCTTTGTCTTTGTCTTTGTCTTTGTCTTTGTCTTTGTCTTTGTCTTTGTCTTTGTCTTTGTCTTTGTCTTTGTCTTTGTCTTTGTCTTTGTCTTTGTCTTTGTCTTTGTCTTTGTCTTTGTCTTTGTCTTTGTCTTTGTCTTTGTCTTTGTCTTTGTCTTTGTCTTTGTCTTTGTCTTTGTCTTTGTCTTTGTCTTTGTCTTTGTCTTTGTCTTTGTCTTTGTCTTTGTCTTTGTCTTTGTCTTTGTCTTTGTCTTTGTCTTTGTCTTTGTCTTTGTCTTTGTCTTTGTCTTTGTCTTTGTCTTTGTCTTTGTCTTTGTCTTTGTCTTTGTCTTTGTCTTTGTCTTTGTCTTTGTCTTTGTCTTTGTCTTTGTCTTTGTCTTTGTCTTTGTCTTTGTCTTTGTCTTTGTCTTTGTCTTTGTCTTTGTCTTTGTCTTTGTCTTTGTCTTTGTCTTTGTCTTTGTCTTTGTCTTTGTCTTTGTCTTTGTCTTTGTCTTTGTCTTTGTCTTTGTCTTTGTCTTTGACAGAATCTTTTCCTTCCTTCTCAATGGCTCGTCTGATGGTAGCAACCTTTTCAGCGAAAAAATCTTTAAAATCTTCTGATAGTTTAACAGGATCCTTGTAGTTTGGAAGGTTTTGGGTGTCATTTCCTAAAAGTCTGTTGACTTTTTTGTACAATGCTTTAGTATCCCCTGAAGAGGACCTAAGAGAGGTTTTGTGGTGAGCACATCTTTTAACAAACTCTACTCGGGAAAACTCATCTCTTAGCTTAACATAATCAGATCTCAAGTACTCAGATCTTTCACTGTCTATATAATCTACTTTATCTTTTCTCCAGGCACGTTCCGCAGTTCTTCTTTTTCGCCTGAGAATACGAAGTTCTAGATCTAACCAGGGCATTGGCTTCTTGGTAATCTTCTTTTTTATGTAGGGACAATGTTTATCCATTAACTGAGTGAGTACGGTGTTGTAAAGGACGACAGCATCATTCGGAGACATATCTTTGGGGAAGTTTGTCAGTTTTGAAATTACAATATCTTCTTTAAACTGTTCTGTATCAATTAAATTAAAGTTTCTGTAGTTCATAAATTTAACGTCTTCTTTGGTCTTTGTCTTGATGTCTGCATCGAAGAGGACAAGGAAATGGTCAGATTTGGTTCTTGAGGGACGGATTTCAAATGAAGTCAGTTTTTCCTTGAAGGATCTATTAGTAACTACAAGATCTAGGGTTCCACCTTGGTCATGGGTTGGCTCAAGAGGAACATGTTGATAAAGGTCATACTCCTCCAGGAGTTGGTAGAGCTTCTTTGGGTAGTGTTCTTCAGTCTTTTCCATGCGAAAGTTGAAATCTCCAGCGATAATAGGAAAACCAGGTTTGACTGTGAGGTCTTTAAGGTAGTCTTCAAATTCTTCTAGAAAGGCACACTCCGTGTACCGAGCCTTCTTGGTATAAGGAGGCCGATACAAGTTCACAAGTCTCACAATATCTTGTTGAGATTGTAGCAGTGATTCCATCACTTGGAAGGATTTGTACTTCGTGACCTTACTATTACATTTTAACTGGAGGACATCACGAAATAGCATAGCTATACCTCCTCCTCCTCTATGTTTTCGTGGGTCCGAGAGTATATTCCAACCAAGGTCTTTGATCTCCATTATCTTAGCTGTGTTTCCATCACGAAAGAAAGTTTCTTGTACAAAACAGATGTCACAGTCAACTTCTTGAAGATGCTCTAAGACTCCGACTGTTTTGTTCACTAGGGATCTTACATTGAACGTTCCAATCCTTAAACTCTTCCTAGGCGTAGTTTGGTCTCCTTTGTCTTCTGTACGTACCAGTTTTTTGAACTCTCACATCCTGCTGTCCTATTCATGATTCCAATCCGTTCTCTTACATACGAGGGACATAGGTTGTCAGAGGCTTTATGGGTCTTTGCTGAGTTCTTCTCCGAGTGTTTACTACTTTTGGCGCAGTTAGAGCACTTTATCTTTGTGACAATATTTTCACTCTTGCTTCTACAGTCTTTTGACTTGTGGTTTCCTGCACAGAAGAAACATGTTGGGTCTTTATCTTTGGCTTTACAGTACAGGGAGTTAGCCATGTGACCAAATTCCTGGCAATGATAACATTGGATGACATGAATTCGGTCTGTGACATGGTGTTCCCTAAGGTCAATGTGTACATAGTCTCTGTTTTGTCTGATTGACTCACGTACTGCTGCAGTGACACGGATGACAGCCGTTTTCTCTTTATCATCGAAGAAAACCACTTTAACCGCATCGTCTTTTTCAGAAGAGGACTTCAGTACTTCATTCTTTTCCAACAGTTTCTCTAGCAATGTATCCTTGTTTGTGATGTCAGAGGGAATATTTCGAATAGACAGTTTGGGGTCCAATTTCTTCCCTGGTTCGGACTTTGTCGATACCTTGTATTTATCTTGACTTTTAAATACCGTCTCAGCTTTGTTAAGTTGATCCTTGGTACTGAACTTGAAAGTCGCAGTATTTCCGGACACTCTAAAATTCTTCACTGGGTTTATTTTAAGGGAACCTTTCATTTCCTTTTCATCATCAATTGTGATAGGTTCTGCGTCTTCAGAGTCTGTGGTCTTTTTCTCAACTGTGAGTGTGTGTTTTTCTGCAGGCATAGTTTCTTCTTTTGCTTTCTTTTCTTTGGGTAGTGTTGCTACCACTGTATTCAATAAATCTGGTAGTATTGTGGGCAGTACTTCTGCTAGTACCTCTTTGAGCTGTGTCTTTATAATTTCCTTGAAATCTGGTGATTCCTGTTTAATAGGAGTTGTGGCTTGTTTTGTTCCTAAAACTTTTTGTGTTAGTTGGAGAGCATTTTTGGAGAAAGTGTACAAATCCTGGATAGCAACAAACATCTCCATTTTTTATTTGCAGACGTAAGGTCATCAAATATCGCTGATTGAATAGTTACCTTAATCTTATTGTCATTATCATCTTTCTTACCTTTAAACAAAAGTGTATTGCGGTTTATCTTTTCCAATTGTTCCTCCATCTTTTTCATGTCCAACTTCATCTTTTCCATGTCAAAAACCCTGCTAGAAAGATCAAGGACCGAAGGGACAAGTGACAAATCACAATGCTGGCAAGCATTACCGTCGCCCTTATATTCACAATACTATTTACCCCCTATACTAGTATATCCCCTTTATTGTTTTCCAGGCATTAAGACTCATCGAAAGTAGTTCAGCAGGTACCTATATTTAAGTTCAAAACATTCTAATTCAATGTTAAAGATGACAGGAATAAGAAATAGTTATGTGGAGGTTTTTAAGAAATTTGCGCAAAATACGCGCCAGCATGTTATACGAAATTAGGTAAAAAACCCAAAATCGCCATATTCAGGTGCCTTAAAAACCATGTTAAAATTGAGTAAGAGATCTGAAACTTTGCAGGGCGTCTAGACCTTGTCCAAATCGACTGTAAAAAAAATTTCATGTTTCAGGAGTATCGGGAAGTGGGTTTTCTGGAACCCCTGTTTTACAACAGATTGTCGTGAAGTATAGTATAGACGCTTTTGCAGTCAATTTGCAGTCAATTGTAGCCTACATTTAAGTGTCCGTAGATTCAAAAGTATAAAAGATACAGTCATTTCGAACCACAGGTTTTGAAGATAATTGTTTATACTTTAGTTTACATTATATCAAAAAATAATTTATCTTCATCATCATCACTTGATGACGTCATCAAATTAAGTGTTTTTAAAACTTGATTTTTGACAAAGTAACAACTTTTCAAATCGATTTTAAACCATTAAGGAGTAATTTTATTCAAAATCTGAGGACATTTTTACCTTAGATAATTGTTCAAGCATTCTGAAAATCTACCGGAAAAGTTTCTTACTTTGCTCCTTCATAAAGATATTCGCTATTGAAGTAAGTGCTTTTTTGAAGAATAATTTTATAAAAACACAAAAGTTGTGAATTAGTATTCTCTGGTGTTGGGCCATCCCTTGGGTTGTGGAGCTCAATTTTGCTTCCTAAAGGTCTAAATTGTGTTATAGGCTAGTTTTAAAGTTGAAATTCAAAAAGTTGCACACGTCGGGACACGCCCAATTTGATAGAAAATTGCTAAAATTACTGAAAATTGCTGTTTTCACCATTTTTATCAACTTTGGAGTCCCGTTGTGATCCAAGTTCTATATGAAATCTTCTGAAACTTTGCATGCTTATTAAACTATATATAAAATACTGCTATGCAAAAATTTACGGTGATTCAATATTGTATCCGCACGCAACGTCCGCTCAAAGTTTGCACGTGCGAAAGGTGAGAATTTTGCTCATTCGTGATTTCGAATAAATTCTGCTTTCCCACGATATTTAAATGGCATTATATATGAATTTAATGCCAACTTGAATGAGTAAAAAGTGCCATATTCAGTCAGGTAAAATTTCGAAATCGATGAAATTACCTCCTAATTATTAATATAAATATTAATGAAGTTATGAGTTTACATTTCGGCTTTGTAAATTATCCTGACATTATAATCAAAAAGAGATGATATTTGACCAAAACCCATAATCATGGGTAGAGTGTACCGCTGCCAGTGTCTCTCTTTTCCAAACAAAAGGAAATGATATTAATTTGAATAACCGTCCGAAAATGCAAATTGATACCGAGAATGAAATCGGTCGCTCGCTTTTTCCAATCAATAAGCTTTATATTATAATTCGTAAGCCGTGATCGAATGGAAAAAGCGAGCGACCGATTTCATTCTCGGTATCAATTTGCATTTTCGGACGGTTATTCAAATTAATATCATTTCCTTTTGTTTGGAAAAGAGAGACACTGGCAGCGGTACACTCTACCCATGATTATGGGTTTTGGTCAAATTGTCAGTTCTTAAAAAAACTAAACAACTGTTTTGTAATAATTCGATACCTCAAATTATTTGTTATATAGTAGTGTTGAAAGTATTAAAACTCTTGGCGGCTAAATTCTAAAATTTGCCCGGTATTTTTCAGAATTTGGCCGCCAAAATTTTTTAAAGGCAAACTCAAAATTTCATATTAAAACTTAAGGTCGAAATGCGATTCTACGTTGATTCTGTTAATTTCATGTAAAAATATCGAAACCCTATTAAGTTCTATTGTTTTGAGCGAAATCAGTTTTGCAAATATCGCAAACTGAGATATGGGCGATTTTGTTCATTTTTTGCGATTATTTGAACACAGAATCCACAGTTAGGTAGATAATGAGCTGATAATCATAGAGAATGTGTAGAGGTGTAGAAAAATGGGCATATAGTTGTTGGCTCATAACTCTGTCATATTTTGTCCAATCTTGATGAAAATTCATATACGAGTTCAGGGGACCATTAGCTACAAGTAAAGCACCTAAAATATGGGTTTTGGGCACGTTCAGGGTATTTGGCTAAATTTGGCCTAATTTGGACCAAATATGGGCGTGGCTGCCCCTATAATTTCAGTACCTGGCTACTAAATACACTATATCAGTATATCTGTCAGATGAGTTCAGTTTGTATTCAACCACTTTGAATTCCTTTTAAAACTTATAATGGACCATTAACAGATCGAAGTGTAGTAGAGTTCAACTACCATACTATAAGTTATATCTTGATGCAAGCTAGTAAGGTATCTTGATGCACGCAAACTACAGTGAAATTCTTTTTTGGACTGCCTTATTTAACTTGAACAGTGACAATTCAAATTTTAATTTGATTTAAATTTATCACAGATCATAGTAACAAACTGAAGTGTAGCACAGTTTAACTACCATACTATAAGTTATATCTTGATGCAAGCTAGTAACTTAGTAAGGTATCTTGATGCAAGAAAACTACAATGAAATGTACAGCTGTTCTGATATAGCTGCTCCACTTCCAGTTTACTAACAATCATTTCTCTTTAAGTTTAAGTTCTCTGTTTAAGACTCTGCCGGACTTCACGTTGGTGGGTGGGTCATTTTTTCTCCCAAAAACACAGTTAGTACATGGTACTAACTGGTGGGTCTACTGCCCATTTTCCAGAAAAACAGTTAGTACATGGTACTAAGGGGTTCATGTTTTGGGTATCCAACCCCAAAAAACCCATTTTACCTCTAATTTCAATTTTGGGAATGGGTTTTGAGGTTTTTTTGAGTTTTTTTTTGGGTTTTTTGTAATTTTAAAATGTTTTGTGTAACTTTTTATCTAATTCGACTGCAGTGAAAACAAAACCCCTACTAAATAGTGGGTATAATTTTCCCATTTCCAATGTTTAATAGTAGTAAACCCGCGATGGGGTGGCATGTGCCTCAATAAAAATATTACAATCATTTATTATTATATCAATGTATCATTAAATATTTCAAAAATATCAATAACGTATGGTTGATCCTTCACACTTGGTAAAATATATAAAAATAAAGTTAATCTACACTAAAGAATAAATAATCTATATTATATAAATCAACAATATTAACTCCCCATCTTCATGTAGTCATTTATCAAAGCGGTAGAAATCCAAGTAATTTTAGTACGCGGTGCGCAAGGAATTTCGTTTTTTTTTATGTGTAGGCAAGATAAGCCTAAGTGTGGCAGTGAAAATTGAAAAATAAGTTGCAGAATAAATTGCAGTGACTGACTGTCGAATGCATTATCGCAGTTCATTTATTTGACTGCACTAACGTTTAGGATTCTTACAGCTGTTATATTTTGCTAATATTTTGTTTAAAAGTTGTAAAGGACAAAGTTCTTGTCCGTCCACGAAAGGTTTTCTAGGTCAAGTTTTTGTTTGTCCAGTAAGTAACGTACAATGTTGTCCTTGTATGCATTAATAAACTTATCTTGTAACTTAGGTACGTTGAAGGGAAGGATTTTGTTTATTTCGTTTATCGTGTTGTTATATAATCGTGGTCCTACGTTAGAGATGCTATAATCGGTGATCCGTAATCTGTTGAACTTAATTTCAAAATACTTTGGATTTCTCCTTTCCGTTTGTCTAAGCGGTGATTTTTCAAATATACTACAGATACTCGATGGTGCTACTCCCATATAAACCTTGTGCATCAAAGTTAGACAGCTTTTAGCAATGAGATTAGGAAGAGCCAAAATTCCTATTTTGTTGAAGATGGATTTTGTGTGAGATGGTAGTTTTCGTTTTTCTTTGTCGTAAAAATAATAATGAGCTGTTTAAAGCAATTAATGGGTGGTTATCTTATTCTATATACAAAAAAACAGTTAGTACCACGATTTTTTCGACAGTTAGTACCGCAAAAGGCGGCAAAAGGGGTGGGTGTCTTACGTTTTATCCAAAAAAAAACAGTTAGTACCGCAAAGGGGGTGGGTGTGTCTAGTGAAAAATATCCAAAACTACACTTAGTCGACGTGATGTCCGACACTTGGTACCCGATCCCCCCCCCCCCCCCCCCCCCCCCCCCCCCCCCCTACATCAAGAGCTAACGTTACATTATACCTCTCACAACAATAACAACATGGCGAATCTAATAAGCTGGGAACGAGGGGCCAATCTCTTTTTCTTTTGCGCTGCGGCCACGGTCCTTTCGGTACAGATTCCCCTGCAGCATAGTCAGGACGTAACCCCAGGCATGTACAATCGTGTTATTTTCGCAGCTCTAATGAAAGCCACTACCATTTACGCCATGGTTTGGTGAGTGACGGCTGCCCTTCAGCCCTTATACCATTTATCTAGAGTTAACGTTACATTATACCCTACATATATAGAATTAACATTACATTATACCTTACCTTATCGGACCTTATTTGGACGGACATTAAATGAACGGACATAATTATGAACGGACATTAATATGAACGCTAGAAGGCATTCAAAACAATCAAGAATCCGGATTTTTTTTCATTTCTTTTGACGTTTTTTTATACCAGCAAATGATCTTTAACTCCATTTTTAATACAATAGCATATAATATAAGCCATTCTATCCGTAATTAGCCCTAACACAATCCTAAAAGTAAAATACCGTTAGGTCATCTTAAAACCGCTATGAAGAGCTTGAAATAGACTTGAAATACCGATATAGAAGTCCCGATACAATCCTTGGTACTCCTTTTCGATATTGGTTGAAATCCGTATTCGTTAATCTTAAGCAAATATTTGGATAAATTTCTTTCGTCTTCTGAACTTGAGATCTTTCCTTCATAAGCCCAATTATTAGCTGAGAATTAGTGGCGTCGTTGTTTACAATAACTGATATTCAGCAAAGAAACTGGTGCCACCCGATAAGCCGCTCTGGCGCTTAGCTTATAATAACATCTATGACATTCAAGTGCATTTTTAAGCAATTTGCCCTTGAGTATGATAATTATAACCAGTTTTTATCGTGTTCGGCGTCCTCTAAAACATAGGGTTGCATGATTTTCGCTACGATATTCATTAACAAAAAATCCTTCTATTTTCAAATCTCTGGCCTAGCTGCCTGCTGGGTTTCGGAAGGTGATACCTGATCAATAATTGCGCAGCTCCTATAATTGGATCCAATTACACACGATACTCTATATTACTCCATATAAGGCCTGATCGAGTAGCTCGAGCTCGGAGTCGAGAGCAAGCTCTGGTGACGTCATAGTCACGTGACCTCAGGCTCATAATCACGTGACCTCAGACCCAATCAATTGGGTTCTGGCCTGTTCAACCCCCTGTCACCTGATCTTGAGGTGACGTACGAAACCTCGTTAACCCAATCGATGTTTATAACTGGAGTGGCAACTTAGCAATGGAGATTGGAGAGAGATATTTCTATATCATATATTATATATATATCTAATTGTATTTCATTGTACCCTTAAATAAACATAACATGGAACATAACAACACCCTCTCCGCCCTCCACGAACCTGGTATCGTGTGTGCTATGTGTCACGTGAGACTCACAAATCGTATAGCCCAAAGCGGGACGCCCTATTAGTACGGGTATTGTAACTCTACGGATGATCTTGAAGTTGACGGCACATATTGCAATATTGTTTGTTTTATGGATCGCTTCAATGTTATGATAGTACACACTCAAACCAGAAGAAGCTTCCAAATAATAATGAAAAACGGTGAGAATGACGTCCTGGTTGATAAAGACGACCAGCAACAAACAACTTGGACAAGGAATGATAAGATGTTGTTGATATGTTGTCTTCTATGCGACTTTGCAGATGGAACAGAGACGGATTTGCCTGGTTGGTGTAACTTTCAAAGTTGTATCTACTTCTGTCCCGATTTATTTTTGAAGTGAAAATTTTTTAATTTCTTTCTGCACATTGCATTTTACAAGATAGCCTTCCTTGTATTGAAAACCTCACTCCTAATCTGTAAAACACACGAAGAAGCCTGATAACCATATTTACTCACGTATCAGGAATGATGACTCAACAAGTTTCATGTGACATTGGACTGTCTCATTGGAAAGAAGGATTATTGGATTACGTTCTGTACTTCTCTTTAGCAGTTTCAGTTATGATTGCAGGACCATTGGCAAAAGGGTAGGCTCAAAATATTTTTCTAGACAATTTTAACTGTAACCATCAAGCTGCAGTGAAACATTTGCTAGTAGTAATACAGAAATTCAAAAAATATATTTAATGATATTGTGTCTCAGGATTGGAAAACGGAAGACGATTTTAATCTCGCTATATCTGAGTGTATGCAGTTTAGTTATCCTTGGCATAGTTGCAAATTTTACAGCTCTTCTTGTTGCTCGAGCCCTCCTTGGCTTTTGTTGTGGACTCAGATACAACAGTCTTTATGTTTGGGTTGCTGACGTAGCTTATAATAGAGAGATTCTAGACAGGATTTTATTGATAACACAGATATTCTTCACTGCCGGGTCAATGTGGTCATCAGTGTTGGGGTTCCTACTACTTGATTGGATTGGATGGAGGAAGTTTCTACTTTTCTCGACATTGCCCGTACTCATTCTTCCGATCATCATGGTTCACTTCTGTGTAAAAGATACAAAAGGCCCACAAATAGAAGGGTCAGAAGACGAAGCAGAACAGCCAGAAACAGTGATTGTTTCAAACTTCGCAGCTAGAACCACAAAAATGGGGCTGCTCATTGCTTGTGTTACTTTTAATGGCTGGTTGAGCACCCTCCTCGTTCCAGCGTTGATCCAGCTGCTTAAGATCAAGGAAGCAGGACCAAACATTCATTGTTCAGTTACCATGACTCAAGGGCCGGAACTCTTGTTACTGGCACTTGTTAACTTCGCAGGTATGCCCTCTTTATTCCTTATGCACTGGATAAAAGACAAGATTGGATTTCGTAAACTGCAGGGGTTTGTTTCCCTAGTATACATAGCAAACTTTGTACTGATGCTCACACAACAAAACCTTGCGGTAACGATTTTAACTAACTTCATAACGAAGTTTTTTGACGGGATAATTGTAATGGGCTACACCTATGTCCTCTACGACGTGAATTACTTCGGAACGTCAAACTTTGAAGTAGGAACTAGCATCGCAACCACAATTGGCTTGATTGGTTTGATGGCTGGGTCGGCCATGGTCTCATTTGCCTCCACATCATCTGTTATAATCACTGCTGTGGTGGTCAGTGTGGTTCAGGTTATGGTTGTTGTTTCTATGACAGAGGTTCAGTAGCAATATCAAGCTGAATAGGTGAGCAGGTTTAAATACACACGGACAGAAGGTTAGATAGAAAAGTGCTCAACACATTAGGCCAGGTTTCAAAATGAGGAAGTGATCTGGAAGTCCTTTCCGAAACTTTCTTTAGTTAGAGCTGAGGAATAATCTGAAACTGTTTATCTTAGATTCCGTATCAACCTTGACAGCTTTGAATTCTAGAGTTACACTTACACTTTACAGTTATGAGTTATATCACTACAAACTTTCGACCTAATATGACCGTTAGACACTCTCACTGCAAAGAGACACAAACATTGTCCACTTTTAGCAGAACATCCCAGATTTGCTGCATGAAAGCGAAGGTGATAGGAAAAGACGGAGACTAAAAACACAAAGGACTGGAGAATAACAATCAGAGAGTCTTCTTCTCAATTTATCTGGGGACCATCCCGGTTCAATCCCTTTGTCATATTTTCAAGTAATTCTAGTTTTTCCATATTCCATAAATGTATAATACTTACATAAATACATCTGAGTAACAAGATTTGAACTTTATTTAATTGTTTCAACCATGTAATAATGTGTTGAACTAAATTAGCGTAATTCCTTCAATTTATGTGATTAATTTCTCATTCATGATACAAGTTTGATTGTGTGTTGTTTTACTGAGAAGCGTGAGAAATGATAATCATGATCAAACCATGTGCATCATTAAACGACGGTCGTTGCCTTTGCGAATTGAAAATACTGTAAAGATGTAATTTATAGTTTGCTTAACTTTCAAATATTGATAATTCCAAATAACTTCTCTCATAGAATGAAAATGAAAGGTACCGTTTAAAGTTTATTGTTATATAGAAAACTGAGTTTCTGGTATTTAGTGTATGCTAGTCAAGCTCTAGTCACGTAACAGTAACACGAACGGCAGGGCATACCGCATGGTAGAAATGAAACGAGTAAATTAAAATAGAGAAATAATTAAATAGCTAAGTAATACAATACGAACTTATTGTGCAAGATATGTATTTACTGGGCAGCACTCAGCCTGTCATTCCGCCGCAGCTTAATTTATAGCCTGGGGTTCCCAAGTACCCCTGTACACTGTAGCTGTATGACTACTTTATAATTTCTTCGATTTCAATTTCTTTCATATCAACATTTTGACTGCTTAACAAATATTTTTCGTGCTTACTGTACTAACTATTTGTCATCAACGTGACACAGTATATATTATTTGATAAAAGGTTTGAATATCTTTTAGCTTGCTCTAGTGTACAACTAGACTCTATAGGACTAGAGCAATGTTAGAGTTAAGAGGCAAAAGAACTAAATACGTATTAAACAGGAATTAAACATGAAATATAACACTTCTCTATTATAATCACAACAACAATCACAAAATTGCAGTGCATTTAAGGTTGTTAAGTGAAAGCTCTCTCTTTATCTAAAGTTAAACGACTGGTTCAATACAGTAACTAAATATTAAGGTAAGTTAATTATTAAATACTAAATACTAAGTTAAATACTAAGTATTAAATACTAAATATTAAATACTAAATATTAAATACTAAATACTAAGTTAAGCGTATCACTATCAGTTTACATTTACAGCACTACAAATTCCACCCGGCAAGTATCAAATAAATTGCGTAATTTTCATGGCTAACGCCAACGGAGCTTATCAAATGTCCATACAATTTTATGACGTGATAAGACGTCATGTAATGCGATATGTCATGTCATCATGCGTGTTTATTCCAGTCATTCGACCGTTATAGTCTGTCGTTCTTATTCTCGTTTGAGTTCCTCCTCTCTTCTGCGGTGTCTCATCTCGTTTGCCTGTCTCTGCACTTTAGCGTGTTTCTTCCTGTTCTTGATCTCCTGATAAATTGTTTTTTAACAAAACCATGAACGTTTCGATCCTTCCCTCTCACACCCTTACCTCCTTCCATATCTAGATGGTCTAATTAAGAGCAAACATAATCTCACCATGTAGAGAATAAGGGCTCCTTTCCCAGTTGGTACTCGGTATTGGAACATGGCCTTGTTCATCAAACAAACTGCTTTACCGTTAAACCCAAACATATGAGGATCAATGTTCTGAATCTCGTATTTCCTGGAGCACCATCTTAGCCACAACATCACTTCTGCTACACTCCAGCTTTGTGGATCTGAGGGATTGTGGAGCGTTTAAGTAAAGTGAAAGTGAAAGTGAAAGTGAAAGCCACAACATCACCTCCGCTACACTCCAGCTTTGTGGATATGACAGATTGTGGAGCTTTTAATGTTAAAATCAATAAGTTTTCATCAATGATGATCATAGATAGATATCTTAAAATGGGTAAGTAGCATTTGTATTTTTAAATCTATCGGGGTCACGATGATAAATCACTTGAGGATAATCAATCAGTTTCACATGTTTACTTATTGGAAGTATTGGCGGAGTGTTGGGTGCATTGTAGAAAATCCTTGCTGCCTCAGTATTTGGTCTCTCTAGTGGTGAGAAGGGAATCTCACCGGATAATAGCACTGAAAGTGAGAGTTTAAGTGAAAGTGAAAGTGAAAGTGAGAGTGAAAGTGAATTCTGCCAGAGAATATTAAAACATTTTTCATTCAGAAAACTTAATTTCATACCATCTCCACAAATAATACCCTCAAAAGCAAATTAATTAAATTGAAATGTTACAATCAGCCAGAGTAAGGGGTGCGGGGCTACTAGCAGTGCTCCTTCTCTCCCCCTCATATTGACTATCTCTAGTAGCCGGGTCGGGGTCAGGTCCCTGGGGAACACCTTCCTCCTTCTCCTCAATATGCTGCTTCTTCCTCATTGGTGATCTGCTCACGTCCTCGCTCCGAGTTGGGCTTCTTGTTCTCTGCACGTCAGGGTGCACAGCGTTGATGTTCGTGTAAACTTCACTCCCATCAGTGAACCCCAGGTATATCACTTGACAACTGCTCCCGTGTGGCTCTGATGTTATCTGAAATACACTTTCTCTTTCACTTTCACTTTCTATACTAACTGAAATATAATCAGTTATCTCCAAACCAGCTCTTGTTAACAATATTAATTTTTATGTGCGAGACGGCTACTTTAAGGTCCGTCCAAGTTAAAGTCCGTTGAATTTTTTTCAAACATTTGTCCACTTCAACTTTTTGTCCAGAATAGGAAAACTATGAAAAATTAATTGTACCGTAAGGTATTGACGGAAAGGTTCTCCTTGGTCTGCCGGAGGATGTTTTCAAGGGGTCACTTGGCGGAAATAGTCAACGAAATCATGGCACTCAACAACATAGTTCGTACGAGCTAGTCCCCGCCAACATGACAAACTTGTTCCAGCCTCTAGATATTACGGTAAACCGTGTTGCCAAGGACATTGTCCGACGTTGTTATAGTTCATATTACTCAGGGGAGGTAATGAAACAGTGCTAGAAAAGCTCCACGTGATGTTAAGGTTAACCTAAAGTTGACTAAGATAAAACCACTTCACGCCGAATAGCTTGTAAAAGTTAACACTGAAATGCAGGACCGGGGTTGTTTGATAAAAAAGGTTTTCATAAAGCTGGAAATCACTGATGCTTTAAGCATGGACTATTTCATGCACGAAAACGCATTTGATGAAGATGATATGTGATATTAGACACTGATCATGTACACATATTTTAACATTTTTACTGCTTAATGACTGCTTTTCTTACTGTATAAAAAATGGATTTAAAAATCATTTGCAGAAATAAAAAAACGTCAAAAAAATAAACCATCAAAAATTCGGACTTTTGATGGTTTTGAATGCCTTCTAGCGTTCATATTAATGTCCGTTCATAATTATGTCCGTTCATTTAATGTCCGTCTAAATAAGGTCCGATAAGGTATAACACGTTACTATGCATATATGACACGTTACTATGCACATATGACACGTTACTATGCACCAATTTACCAAAAAACTAGCACGTGAATTAATGTTTCGGTTTTGCAAGTTATTATTCTACAAACCTCGTTTTTAAAGTATCCGCTTGAGTTTGTATCGTAGTTGTTAAACCCATAGCCAGTTACTTGTCGGTGTTCGAGCTGTGGAACCGGAAGTTGGTTTCCTATGTTCCACGAGTTGTAGTAGTCGTAGTAGGACATAACTTTGTGTAAAATGCACAGCACAAGAAGGGACAGCAACCTGAAAGATGCAGTTCATTAAACAAAAAGGGTGGGGTAGTTGATTTGTTGCTCTACCCAATTATGTCACTTCTCAAGGAAACAAAAAGGGTGGGGTAGTTGATTTGTTACCCAATAATGTCACTTCTCAAGGAAACAAAAAGGGTGGGGTAGTTGGGGATTTTAAAATACCTTTTGGCAACGGTTTCAATCAAATGAGAGAAAAACTGTTTTAAGTAAATATCCACCGTAAGGGATAATGTGTAATAATAGCAAAACTCGCTGTCTCGGATTTTGCTGCAGTTATCTTGTAAACGCATAGCATAATTGCCCGTGATAGTATGCTTACCTTATTGGACATAATTATCACCGACTTGGTTATATAACCTAGAACTGACTTCCAGTTCACAGATCAAACATATCACGGCAGCTATCGAATTGCGAAACAAAATTTACCGGTAATTGAAAGGGCTCCAGTTAATAAGGGGTTGATTATGGAAAGTGGGAATTGAGAGTTACAAATTGGACAGTTTTTATTCGCACCTTTTGATAAATGGAGGATCGTATATTTCGTAATTGAGATTGAAATATATAGTCGATTTATCAATTAAATATTTGATGTCTGATCAATGTTATCTGTCCTTATTTACCGGCCTTAGTTTGAACAATTTTGGCTCCCGTGGCCAAATAACTTTCACTTTCACTTTCACTTTCACTTTCTATACTAACATATATATGTTTTAAGCTATTTTCACCACTACAATTGAATTCATTTATTGAGGATGTTACAGAAGGAATTAATTTAATGTAGTTTGAGGAGTCCTCACTCTCCTCACGACCAGCAATAACGTTTCTCTTGTCACTAATATAACTATAACGATGGAAACTTAAATAAAATCAATAATACTTGTGTTATAAAAATCCAGGATTGAAGACATGACTGTGATTTACTCCTTGAAAACAAAATTATCGTTTCAATGTTTCATGGATAAGTATAGAACGAAATCGAGCGAGATTATTCAACATAAGTATAACTTGAATTTCGGTTGGCGTTGATGAAACTGAAAAAATTTGAGATCATCGCCCATCGGTGAAGACTGAAATCTATAGTTGCCTAAAATTGCTAGAGCTAAATTCTAGAAGTGTAGCGATTGTTTTCAATATTTATGGTGCATTCTTGTATATTGGAAATACTGATTTTAGTTAGAATTAGGCTGCTTACATTTTAATAATATTATTTCCGTTATTCATTTGGGTTGTGTGAATAATTCATTATACAAAATATAAGTGTTCGAAATGCTGAGGTTCGCTTTACATCATTTTCATGGTGATTAAATGTTATATATGTATATTGATGCTTTTCATACAAATACTCCCTTGTTTGCTTATATTTTGTTACGAAAAGGCAATATTTAATTGTGCTTCTATGAATTTTGACTCATCTTTATGGTCAATCGAGATGGATGTAATAATAGAGGGCATATTGCAGATCTTCAGGTTCAAACTAAATCCGTGACGTATGAGCCCAACCTATAATTATAACAAATGGCAGTTGGCTCCTCCCTGTGAGACCTGGTGATCCTCATTAATGAAATGAAATTATGTGCTACTCACCAAAATGACTCCGTCGCTCAAAAGTCAAAACAGAGCTAAAAATGAAAACTTGAAATGGCTGCATGTTTTACAGTGGACTGTGGTTTATTTAAGGTGGCTGATACAGATCCACCATTGTTTTTGTTGCCTTTTATGGAATTGTGTCACCAAATAGTTCCTTCACCTCAGGAAATAACCATAACTATCCTATATAAGGTGGTTTTACTTGTTCAGTTAAGATTGACTGCTTAATTGAGTTGTGTGGGCAGCCTCCAGACTTCCGACGTCATTGTTGCTCTGACGATCGCTTACAAATTAACCATTTATAAAAACCTGCTTCTACTTCGCAGTGTGGGGTAGTCTCAAGCTCATAGTCTGGTTATGCAGTGTCATTAATGCTGTGAGGCTGTGAGGCTGAGAGGCTGTGAGGCTGTGAGGCTGTGAGGCTGTGAGGCTGTGAGGCTGTGAGGCTGTGAGGCTGTGAGGCTGTGAGGCTGTG